ATTTGTTTTCTCAAAAAGACTTGAATTTATGACAACGGAGGTGGATGGAATTTATGGAGGATTATGACTTTAAGTTACACTATCATCCAGGGAAGGCCAATGTGGTGGCCGATGCTTTGAGTCGAAAATCTGTGAGTAGTTTGGCAAGTGTGGCTATTCAGGAATAGGATATGGTAGATGTTATTGGCAAGTTTGATTTGTACTTGGGTGAGTTCAGAGAGAGTGCTACCTTATTTACTTTGAATGCTCAACCTACCTTGGTTAGTAAGGTCATAGAGGCACAATGAGGAGACCGTGATGTAGAATCAATCTGTGTTAGGATTTTCAATGGGAAGGAAGAGAAAGGTTTGAACGTTCACTCGCATCTGAATGTACGTTACCTAGATCGTTTGTTTGTACCAGAATCTTGTAGAGAGGAAGTACTTCGGGAGTTCCATCACTCAAACTTTGCGGTACACCCGGGAGGCACTAAAATGTATCATAATCTTAGTCGTCAGTTTTGGTGGAGGGGTATGAAATGGGATGTCGCTTTATTTGTATCGAAGTGCCTTACTTGTCAACAAGTAAAGGCCGAACACCAAAGACCAGCGGGTTTGTTACAACCCTTACCGATAGCCGAATGGAAATGGGAGCGTGTTACCATGGATTTTGTAGTTGGGCTTCCTAGAACACAATGAGGCAATGACATCGTTTGGGTGATTGTTGATAGATTGACTAAGTTTACTCATTTCATCCCGATATGCACAAGCGACTTAGTTGAACTCTTGGCAGAGATGTACATTGGAGGTGTTTGGTGGGGCTTTTTTGAGCCAACTTATGGCTTCTAACTTTTAAAAAGTTATTTTGGACTGTTTGGTTTAACTTATTTCAAACAGCTTCTGATTCTAACAACTTATTTTAAGTCAAAAAAGCTGATTCTGAGAAGCTGCTCACCCCTTGCTTCTGATTATCAGCTTCTGCTGTGGACATGTTAATTTACAGTTATACTCTTAAATTTTTTTATTTTTTATTTTTTTAAAAATAGAAAAAGACCTAAATGAACTATAAAATATTATTATTATTTTTTATGAGAAATGTAGACAAATTGTGAATTATAAAAAATAAAAATTAATTGAAAAAGCTACTTCACATCTTATTTAACAAACATTACTCAGCAACTTAAATCTATAATCCAACAGCTATACCAAACAGATTAACAGCTTCTGATTAAAGTCATAATCTATAATCTGTTAAGTTATAATCTATAATTTGTTTTAACAGCTACACCAAACAGCACCATTAGAGAGATAGTTCGACATCATGGAGTCCCTGTGACTATTGTGTCGGATAGGGATCCTCGTTTTATTGCCCAGTTATGGCAAAGCCTTCAAGAGGCATTAGGAACTAAGTTGACTCTTAGCACTACTTATCATCTTCAAACTGATGGACAGTCGGAACGTACTATTTAGATTTTGGAGGACATGCTTAGAGCTTGTGTCCTTGATTTTAAGGGGCCTTGGGAAAGACACTTACCATTGATTGAGTTTGCTTACAACAATAGTTACCAAACTAGTATTGGGATGGCACCATTTGAGGTCTTGTATGGCCGACCTTGTAGATCACCGGTTTATTGGGCCGAAGTGGGTGATGCACCGTTACTGGGTCCGGAAATTATTAGAGAGACAACCGAGAAAGTTGCTCTTATTCGGAAGAGGTTAGCTACAGCCCAAAGCTAACAAAAAAGTTATGCCGATAAGAGAAGACGACCTTTATCTTTTGAAGTTGGTGACCATTTGCTTCTAAAAATCTCACCAAGGCGGGGTTTGATGATATTTGGTAAGAGTGGCAAATTATCTCCAAAGTTCATTAGGCCTTTTAAGATCTTAGAGCGAATTGGGAAAATGGCATACCAGTTAGCTTTACCACCATAACTTTCGGGAGTTCACAACGTATTTCATGTATCTATGCTTAGGAAGTATGAACCCGACCCTTCTCATGTGCTTGATTGGGTTGACTTGGAGGTAGATGGAGATGCCTCGTACGAAGAACAACCGGTTCAAATATTAGATACCTAGGAGCAAGTGCTACGGAGCAAAACTATAACATTGGTAAAGGTGTTGTGGAGATACCATGGGGTTGAAGAAACGACGTGGGAATGGGAGGCGGAAGTCCACTCCAAATATCCGGATTTGTTTGAAAATGCTTGAGTTGCTTTTCTTTGTAATATTCCCTAGTGTTGAGGAAAACGTATTTAAAGTTGTTAACCACATGTTGATATGTGCATTGTTGTTTTAAGCATAAGGTTGTTGAAAGTTGCCATTACTTTTTGAGAAATTTCATGTTTATACGTATTTGAAAGGTTGTTATTAATGAGATAACTATGGTGGAAATGGTGGAATTTGGTTGAGAGTTAGTATTATGATTTGAAAATGAAATAGCGTGGTTTTGATCGCTAGAAACCTCTTTGTTTGGGTAGTTTGATTTGAAATTTTGGGAACAAAATTCTTTAAGGGGGAAGGTTGTAGCGATCCCGGTTTTGACCCACCTCTTTATGGTGTTCCGGGCTCGGGTTGGTATGGTTTTGAACGGTGGTACGTATCTTAGTTCCCTGTATTCCCCTTATTTTGGTTATCGGGTTGTAGCGGTGTGTTTGGAACAAGTAATGTTTCATGTTTGTATCGGGTTGTAGCGTATCTTTCATGTTTTGCCATTTCACTGACTATGTCGGGGATCGAGCTACCAGGTCAGCTTGTGGGGGTCGAGGGGGCAGCGCCCCTTGGTGGGTTTGAGGGCAGTGCCCTGGCAGGGTCGAGGGGTAGCGCCTCCGAAGCAAAAATGCAAAATGCATTTGAAGTTACATGTCCGCTCGAGCGGCCGTTTATGCGCTCGAGCGAAGAATGTTTGGTTCTAGAAGTTTGACCTGTCTACAAAAGTACTAGGAAGGTGTATTTGACGCTTGAGCATACCATGTTATATTAGTTCGTGAATTTGATATTTCAGATCACTTTTGTATATCTCTCTCTCTAAAAACATTTCCTCTCCATTCTCTCTATATTTCTCTACACAAACTAGATCAAAAACTTTGATTTCTCAAGATCCATTTGAGTTTTACTATTGTTTCTTCATCAAAGTGGGTTATCATCTTGAGGGCTTCTTTGTGTGCGGTGAAGATCGAGTTTAGGCATCATTGATTTTGGGGTTTCATCACTATTCTTCTTCAAACTTGAGGTAGGGATTTTGTTTGAGTTATATATATATTTTTGCAAGATCTAGATCATTTTCGAAATTATCCTTTGATAGCTTTTGAAAATTGATTGTTGATTCAAGAAGTTGAGTGATTTTGAAAGTGGGTTTGTCTCTTGTTCTTTTAAAATGATCTTATGGGTTTTGATCTTCCTTGATTGAAGAAAAGATGATTTTGAAATGTTTTCTTTCAAAAGATTTGAGTTGTATAGTTTTGGTGAGAAAACCTAGAAATTGAGGATTTTTAAAAGATATTGAAAATCCATGAATGATATTATTATATTTATTTTGTGTGTCAAAATAAATGGATGTTTGGAAAATTTCTTATTTATGTTTATATAAATGATGAATTTCATGGAATATGAGAATTGTTTATTTTGAAAATTATTGTTCAAAACGTTGAAATAGTCTTGAAATGACTAATTGTTGCGGATACTTGAGAAGAGGGAATTGTGTTATTCCTTGAATGATGAATTAGAATAAAAGTATTTATATTGATCTTGTGAAATTAGCATATTAATTCATTTGATTACATTAAACTTTGAAAGTTAATTTGAAAACTTGCATTGAGAAAAGAATGCTAAGACATAAGTTTTCATGGAATGGTTTTGGGGTAAATATATTGGTAAGTCTTGATAAGTGGTGTAGATGATATTGAATAAGTTGGCCTGAGAGTCCGGGGTGAAAAACTGAAAACCCGCACAGATAGGTGTCGAGCCTTCCGGTTAATACCGGTAAAAATGACAATTTGGTAGTACTCGTATAGTCTATTTGCAGACACCGACTTAAGAATTACCAGAGTTGTATTTACCGCTCCTTGAATTAAATTGTTAAGTTTTGAACAATGGACATTTCATGGCATCATTGAGCATGATGGTTTTCAAAAGATGAAGATATGATTTATTTGCAAAAAGACATAGCATGACATGGGCATTCATCTCTTGAGACTTGTATAAAATATATATATTTTGTTAAGGATTTCCTACTAGGTTTTATGCTCACCTTACGGGATTTTTATGTAGGAAAAGATGTGATGATTCCACCGAACTAAAGGCGAGGAAATATGTGTTGAGAGTAGGGGTGTGCGCGGTGCGGGTCGGTGCGGTTTAGGGGAAAAATAGAAACCGTATGGCGGGTGGCGGATTGATAAAAATGTCATTAGAATTTGCCATTTTTTCTATCAAAAACCGGCGGTTCGGTTGGCAAATAATAGTGTATTTGCCTTGGCGGTTCGGGCGGTTTGGCGGTTTATAAACAATATAATTCAAATTATAAAACTTGAATCAAATAATAAAAAGATCTAATTTACAAATTAACTGAAATAGTGAAAATTAAAATAATCAAAAGTTGAAAATAAAGATGCATAACCTAATATACAGATGCATAACCTGCAATTGTTCCGGTGAAATACCCTCTGGTGGTATGGCAAAGAAAACTTGCAATTTAGGTGATCCAGCAGCAGCATATGTTCTCCATTCCTCAGTAAGTGCCCATCTCTCCCTCTTAATGTCCTGCACAATTAGCACGAAGCATATGTAATCCACAGAAATAATATCTACAATTATATGGCGTGATATGACCCAATAGATGTCATTCTATTGTACTAATGCAGTATTACCATGCAATCTGAACTCAGTAACCTGTAGAACATCTAAATTCAATTTCTAGAGCTTGGCCAATTAGAACATCTAAATTCAACACAATAGCAGCTGATTTAAAAATCTATCTATTCCATCAATAAATTAGTTCAACCAACATAGTTCAACATAATTCATCCAACATAGTTTTACAACATAATTCATACAACATCCAACATAGTTCAACAAAAAAAATTCTACAACATCCAACATAGTTCAACCAACATAGTTCAACATAATTCAACCCACAAACAATCCAAGAATTCAAATAAATTAATCTACTCATCAAACTCCACAATAACTTCAATCCTTCACAATTGCTTCAACCAAACTTCAAAAACTTCATTAATCTGTGGACATGAGCAAAGAAAACATAAATAAATAACAAAAAAACTATCATCAAAATCATTATAAAAAATATAAAAAAAAACATTATAACAAAATAATATTCAAGAGTAAGAATTAAGTCTAACCTCAAGAACTTTAAAACCAAACTAACTTGGAGACAAATTAGTCCTCAACAATAGTTGCTTCTTGTGCAGTAGATGATGAAAAAAATTCTGGAAAATAAAAAATATTTTTAATGTTATTCAAAATTACATAAAAGCTAAAATCAATATTGAATAATCTTTTTAAAATAAACACATATCAAAAAAATTACCTGACTCAATTTCTTCATATTGTTCAACATCATCCATACATTCTCTAAGATTGATTGGAATTGATGAAGACCGTAACCAATTTTGTGCACAAATTAGAGCCTCCACCATCTTTGGCGTCAAAGAACTCCTAAATGGATCAAGCACACGTCCACTGGTACTAAAAGCTGACTCAGAAGCCACTGTAGAAACTGGGACAGCCAACACATCTTTTGCTATTAAAGAGAGAACCTTATACTTATTGCCATTAACCTTCCACCAATTCAAAATATCAAAATTTGGAACTCTTGGGTCTACACAATCATCAACCAAATATTTTTCCAACTCTGATTTGTTCTCCACACTTTTTTCCGACTCCAAATGGTTAATATATTGAGAGGCAAAGAGTGTCATGGGATCTTCCTCTTCCTCTTCATCAACTTCCATCACTTGCGGAGCTTGACTTGCATATGAAGGTGCAACATTACCAACATTGTTCTTCTCAACATAATGATCAAACAAGCGCTCCAATGTTGCCTTCACCCTCGCCACTAAAATTTCTACCTTGTCATTTTCATATACTTTATTGAATGAAAACTTAAGATATGTCAACTTGTAGCGAGGGTCTAACACAACGGCAACATATAACAAGAAATTGATATTATCGAGATTCTCCCAATATTTGTCGTATTTCAATTTCATCTTATCAGCCATATTACTCAACACTGCATCTCCACTTTTACTCAATTGAACTAATTTGGATTGCACCGACACAAGTTGATGAAAAAAAACATTAGATGTCACATGCAAAGACCCTGAAAGTTGCAAAGTCACATGATAAAAAAGTCTTAAAAATTTCACAAAGACTCTAGCTACCTCCCAATCTTCTTCTTTAGGATATGAAATGAATCTTTTTCCTTTCCCTTTGCCTCTTCCACCATCATTCTCATTTGCATTCTCATTTTCATCATCATTCTCCATGAAAAATAACTTGAATCGTGGGTCATCCTCTTCTAAACACTCAAAAGCTTTTTGAAATTTCTCGGCTACCTCCAACATCAAATAGGTGGAATTCCACCTTGTTGGAACATCAAGGCATAACAAACTTTTACAAGTAATCTTTTTATGCTCCACACAATTTTTAAAAGCTTGTAGCCTAGCTGAAGATGATTTACATATTTCACAGCTTTTCGAATCTTGGCAATTGAGTGATTTTGTTCTTTTAAACCATCACAAACAATTAAATTCACTATGTGTGCACAACATCTCATATGCAAAAACTCATTTGCCAAGATAGTGGAAGGCCAATCTTTTGTTCTTCTCTTCAAAAATGCAATAGCACCATCATTAGAGCTTGCATTATCAACTGTAATAGTGAAAATCTTATCAATCCCCCAATCTTGCAAGCATTTGTCTAATTGTTTGCCAATTGTCTCACCCTTATGATTAGGAACTATACAAAAACTAAGAATTCTCTTGTGCAAATTCCAATTATTATCAATCCAATGGCCGGTGACACACATGTAATTTAGATTTTGAATTGATGTCCAAGTGTCAGTGGTTAGGCATACTCGTTGTTTCCTTAGAACTTTCTTCAATTTTTGCTTTTCATCAAGAAATAAGTTCAAACAATCACGAGCAATAGTAGTGCGAGAAGGGACATTGAACCTAGGTTCCATAAGTAAACAGAAATTTCTAAACCCTTCCTTCTCCACATGCCTAAAAGGTAATTCATCAATTATAATCATCTTTGTTAGTGCTTCCCTAAGCAGTTTTTCATCATATCCTATTGCTTTGAGAGATCCAACCCTTCCTTCTCCTTCTTTTTTAACAAAAGAGAGCGTTTTTTGTTTTTTGTCCACTTCCCTAATAGGAGACTTCATACATTGATGCTTAAGGTGGTTCCACATATTACTAGTCCCATCTTGCTTTCCACGAGCACCATAATCCTTACCACAATAATTACAAGCAGCCCTAGGTTTATCAGGCTCACAATCTTCAAGTAAAGTGAAGTGTTCCCAAACCTCAGATTTTTTTTTATCTAAATTAATACTAGGGCATGGACGAGTTTTACCAGAATTTTTGGCACCCATTGTGGAAGTGGTAGAACTAGCAACAGTGGTTGATTCTGCAGTTGGTGTAGGAGGGTTTCCACCGGCATTTGTATTTTCGTCATCCATTCACTATTACAAAAAAATTATATGAATGATAAGTAAATAAATAAAAATAAACAAAATAACACACTATATAAAATAAAAATATATATGCAATGAGAAGTAGGACTGAGAAGTGATGTTCATGGGCCTAAAGTAAATTCATAGAGTTTAACTGGGTATGTTTCCAGTAAATTCATGGACTTAAAGACTAATCACAGTTAGCATCAGTATGTTTCCAATAAATTTGCTCATTAAAGATTCTCAACTCTCCTACTGAATTATAATTGATGAATTACCTTTTAGGCATGTGGAGAAGCTCAAATTAAATTCTCATTGAAATGGAACAATTCACTCTCGTAGGAGACTGAGAAAAAGTAAGATCGGATAAAAAAGGTCTTTAAAATAATAATAAGTTTATAATAATTTAATCTAATCATATCTCTCTAACATAGGATTAGACAATATACGTTATTTTCACAATCATTTTTTATTTTGTATACTGTTCTATCCTATGTTTAGAGAGATAAGATTCTGTATGACCTATTATCTTACCACTTTTCTCAAAGATAGTCATATTCTCCTCTTATTCTATCTGCCAACCAAACTTGCTTGAATTTGTTATTTTTTTTAAAAAAAAAAAAAAAAAAAAAAAAACACACACATACACACACCCCCCTAATTTTATCTAATCTTGTCTCTCCCAAACATGGGGTAAGGCTATTTACATTATTTTTGACAATCATTTTTTATTCTATCGGATTTATTATCCCACCACTTATTTTAAAGATTGTTCTATCCTCCCTATATCTTATTTGTTAACTACACATACTCTAATATATAGTGTTAATTCAATTTTTTTTAAGCACCTACTTGCCTCCACCAAATGGAGTAATGTTGTGTGGCCAAAGAATTGAATGGCAAAAGAATTTTTTGTTGGCAATTTTGATTATAGTGTGACTAAACTACAACCCCCAAGTTGCAATTCAAGAGTGATATTAAAGCAACTAAGTCCCCAAACAAAATACTTACCTTGTTGATTTTTAGCAGATGTAATGGTCATTGATGTTAGCAGTTAATATAGAATGAATCAACAGCCAAACTTGAAATATAACAAAATAAACAAAATAAACAAAATAAACAAAATAACACACTATAAAATAAAAATAAAATAACAGAGACAACATAACATTAGATTATAGAGTAGAGCAATATTATTACATGAATCAACAACACTATATATATATAGAGTAGAGCAGTACCTACCAGCACTGCAGTATATATGTATAATGTATACACAAAGAACAAAGAGAGAGTGAAAGAAAAGAGACAGAGAGAGCATCGAGAGAGAGAGAGTAGCGAGAGTACCGATGAGGAGGAGGAGAAACCAGTGGGAGACGATCGCCAAGGGAAGGAGAAACAGCGGCGAGACGATCGGCAACGCAAGGGAAGGAGACGAGCAGCGGCGTTGGGCGTATGTGATGAACGAGATATTATTACATGAATCAACAACACTATATATATATAGAGTAGAGCAGTACCTACCAGCACTGCAGTATATATGTATAATGTATACACAAAGAACAAAGAGAGAGTGAAAGAAAAGAGACAGAGAGAGCATCGAGAGAGAGAGAGTAGCGAGAGTACCGACGAGGAGGAGGAGAAACCAGCGGGAGACGATCGCCAAGGGAAGGAGAAACAGCGGCGAGACGATCGACAACGCAAGGGAAGGAGACGAGCAGCGGCGTTGGGTGTATGTGATGAACGAGATGAAATCAAAATGTGTGGCTATGTCACTGTGTGTGGGTATTAGGTTTAATGGAGGAATGATTGTGTGTGAGAGGGTGTATAACAGCTGGGTATTTTTTTTAAAAAAACTTAGGCGGTCGGGTCGAGTTGACAGGCGGTTTGAAAAAATTAACCCGCCACCCGCGCCGACCCGCCACTGCAGGTCCGCCAACCCGCCCGCCAGAACTGAAATTTTGCGCGGTTCGGTGCAGTTCGGAGCAATTCGGTGAAGTTTTGGCGGTTTTGGCGGTATTATGCACAGCCCTAGTTGAGAGTACAAGGCTCTCATTTTGTTGTAACTCTGTTTGTAAGCCAAGGGCTATATTTGTGTGGGTTTAAATAACCATTTTGTGTAACCAGACCTAAGCCTTGGAAACTTGTAAACCCTTGGGGGTTATCTATTTGTTTATGTTATTTTGATTTGAAGTGAATGTATTATCGCCTGAAAACTATTTGTATCATATAATGCAAGTGTGGGGATTTATTTTCAGTTTTACTTTAAAAAACCATGGTTATCTATTATCATTTGGATATAAAAATTGGGGCATTACAGTTCCAAACTTACAAGCAATTTAAAAATTGCCAATCAAATTACAAGCAATGTAAAAAAAAATTGCTACAACAATGATTAGGCAAATAAAATGCTTCTAACAATACAAGTAAATAAACTTGTTTTTACACAATTGGTAAAAACCAACTAAACCCAAGCAAAAAATTGCTTCACTCCTAGTCCATAAAATTCCTGTTTACGCTTAATTATTCATGTTCATCACAAAGGTTAGTCGTCAATACTTTTTGTTTTTACATCACCCAAATCTTATTCATTTGATTTTGTATTTGTTTGTCCAATCCCTTTCGCGTAGGTATTTCTGTAAAACAAGTTAGTAGAAAATACAAGAAAATACAAACCAAACAATCTAATAAATTACTTTAATAGTAAAATTAAGTAAAATTAAAATGTTAGACAAGTTATACAATTAAACTTCTAACTCCCAAATAAATTACAAACCTTATAACTCTAAAAATTAAAAAATTAATTGACAAGAGTTATATGAAATTATTACACAATAATCATGTACATAACTCTAGCAATTATCATGTAAATAAATATAAACAAGTTGCAAAAAATTTTATAACTCCAAATACTTAAATTAAAATTTAATGGTAAGAGTTATGTGAAATTGTTAAAAAACAATAACCATGGAAATAATTTTAGTAATTAACATGCAAATAATTCTAGAAATTAAATCATGTAAGAAAAATAAAATCTAGAAAATAAATTACATGCCAAAAATTGCATAATCCATAATTATTGAATTTCCAGAACAAATAGTGGACTTAATAGATATCAAATTGAATGTCTATTAGTATGCGAATTATATTGAAAATATTTGAAACAATGGGCAATGGTGGAAAAAAGCAACACGCAAATCTGTTCCTTTGTTTATTTATTATTATTGTAATTCTAAGCATGCAACAAACTTTTTTTTTTCTTTTTTCAATGACTAAAACAGTACCAATCTCATATTATTAAACATAAAATAAAAGACATGCAATCATCAACAAAACTGGAAGCAATCAACTTGAAACAATTATTTAATAAATTGAATGGCAACGGTAGGCAATGAGAAGGAAAACAGTAGCATGCAACTTATAATTATTTAATATTCCAACCAAGACTACTAATAAGTTATGGGCAAGTCCCATACGCTGTATACATATTAAATCATGAACTAAGCAAATAAACCAAAACTATATATAACACAAACAGTGGCCATCACCCAGAAAATCATAAACCAAACAAATATTTTCCCAGGTACTAAAACAGGCAATTTGAATTAAAGGTGAATCTAATTATTAATTGCATGAGCAATATTTGAATCTGTTTGAAGATTGTTGTACAAATTGTGTAAAGCAAACAAAATAAATAGATTTTGTGTAAGTGATTTTCTAACCACACTGCCAACTCAGTATTCAACTAGTGAGCACTAACGGAATAGATGGCACCTGAACGACCTACAACAGAAATAACAGATTCCGGCAGTGGTTCGTCCACCCGGGGGCACTTCGATGATCAAGTCAGTTATCTCAAAGATAATTAATAGTGCTTAACTCACTGTTCAGAATATAAATTACGTACCTTAGACCCATGGGGGTGCCTCCCTTTTATAGCCAACACAATCCTAGTCCCAATAGAAGCCTAGCTCTAATGGACTTAGG